TCTGGTGCAAAGAAAGGTGTGATTTAATTTGCAGTATTTTGCCACCCACAAGCGAAACATACGCAATGAGATTTTAATCACATGTTTTTTTCTAGTCTTTTTTGTCTCTTAAACCAACGTAAGCCTGCAGGTATCATGCTGGTCTGCAGCAGTGGGAAGCTACAGGTGGCACCTCTGTGCCAGTTGAACTGCAGAGCTATTGCAGTGACAGCTTTTCAGTAAAGCAACATACTTGCTTGGTAAAGCCAGCGTTAGAGCTTTCTGCGGCTTCCCCTCTGTTTCCAGCTTAATGTTCTGAATTTGACAGCTAGGGGAAAAAAAAGTGTCTTGTGGGTGCATCATAATCTGTCTCAAATTGCTTTTAACAGATACTAAAATAAAAGGGAAAATGATACAGGCAACGCTAGCCCATTACACGTGTGTTCTGACTTAGGATTGCTGCTCCGAGTCGTTCTGATGTGCATAGTTCAGGTGTCTGCTGCAGTGCCCAAGTCCTAAATCACTCTGTGCTGTGCACAGCAAGCTAGAGCAACTGGGAGCATTGCGAGTGCCAAAACCACCATTAGCTTAAAAGGACAGATACAACTTCACACACGCATGCACGCACAGCTTGTCAAAAACAAACCAAGGTTCGCTTTAAGGAATAGGCAGGCAACTGCTGTAAGGAGAAAGAGAATAGAGGTAAAATGTGAAAAAAAGAAAGCTCATCCTGAACAGGGTTTTTATACATAACATGCTGGTTTGACTTGATTGAGAATAGCATTATTAACATTATAATGTGAAGCATTCCCTCTTCAATAGCTTCAGGAGGACTGTAAGGCTCAGAGAGAGTTGTGGCTTCGGGATATCCTGTTTCCTTTTCCTTTTTAAATTCAGGACATAAAGACCACTTCTAAGGACCTAATGTTTTTCACAGGAACATTTGCCAGGCTCCTTTAAGCCATCCTTGGGCGCAGAGGAACATTAATAATTCAAAAAAATGATGATGAATATATACTGTAATTGTGCTCTCTTACAATAAACAGAATTTTTATGTCCCTTAATTTTTAAAGATTGGTTTTAAACTGTAGAATGTTTCTTTGTATTTGGAAATATCACCTTATGTGTAGGTTACACTTAAAGTCTTTACATTGAAAATGAAGGAGCTTCATTGGATTGTTGTCTGTGAGACAGGACAACGCTCTGTTAGGTGCTCTCAAAACAGATCAGAAAGATGATCCTGGCGATAGGGAGCTTGAAGCTAGTGGTTTTCTTACTAACTGACTTGCCAAGCAAATGATTCTTCAGATCTAAGCTGGAGGAAAAGTTGGGGGTGGGGAAGAGGTGTTTTGTACACTCAAGATTTGCAGGTAGTGATTTCTGTCGGTGGTGTTCTTATTTCTGTAAGAGCAGAAGTGCGAGTCTCAGGGTCACTGCTTAATTCCAGTTGGAGCAGTTTACCACTTGCCTTGATAAACCTTTCCCTGCAGTTTCAGATTGGAAGCCATATACTTCCTCAATCACGCTCCTAAATTGTTGCCTGGTGTGGCTCTGTGCTATTAAAAGATGGCCATGCTTAACCCCAGTGATGGGCGAACTGAAGCCCAGCGCTGAGAGCTATTACATGTCCTCTGTGGGAGGGCTAAGAACAGTGTTTACATTCTGTTTCTACCGCATCGTGCAGCGGGGAGGTGAGAGAGGTCTGAATCCCAGCTCCGTTGCCCTCCAAAATTGTACGTGTTCCAACTCTGTGCATCTGTATGCAACCAGCTCCGCCACCCCGCTTCCCAGGCGTGCTCCTCCTCCAGCCCCCGTCAAGCAGCTCTGCTCCATCTGGAGTTCCTCTTGCCAGAGCTTGCCTAGGTACACACGGATCATTTCTAGCCTGTCTGCCCAAGCAAGTGTCAAGAATAAAACCCAAATAGTGCAACTCGTGGTGTAACAAGAGGAGAATGTTCACCGCTAAGCACGCTTGATTTTTTTGTAAGCACTCCAGATTTTCTAAGTTCAGAGTTGATATCAAACTGCTTTTGGGGACTGGGAGTATAAATGCTTAATGTTGCTGCTGCCTTGTCCTAAATTCTCCCGGGTTGGTGCGACCTACAGCACCGTTGCAGTCAGAGCTGCATGGGCACAGTAATTTTTTTGGTGAACGTTACAACCCTTGTGGTGATACGCAAGTCTAGCTGATCAGTTTGGTATCACTGAGCATCTTTCTTACTCATTTTCATCCTCCTCAAGCATAAATCTGACTAGATGCAGTTGACAATTAGGTGGGGAACCGGTATATACTATTATTTTTAAAATTTGTAAGCATATTATTTATTACTTGAAGAAATGTTAGGATTCTAGGTTTTTCTTTATGCAATCAAATCCCAGCGACAAAATGCCTTAAATGCCCCATAAATAGGAAGTACGCACCTAAATAAATACTTTTTACTGAACATGGTTCCTTCTTTATGAACTGGTGTTTTTTAAACTTATTTTAGGAATGTAGGAAAAGGCACTGTAGCTTATAACTCTATTTCAAATTCTACCTGTGTCAAACAGTACTGCAAGAACCTGTAAATAGACAGTATTTTTTTTTCCTTTTCATAGCTTGTACCTCCATTTAAGCCACAAGTTACATCTGAAACAGATACAAGATACTTTGATGAAGAATTTACAGCACAGATGATAACAATCACTCCTCCTGACCAAGGTAAAGTTTTCCCAAATGTTGCCCACTATGTTCTCCAGAGGACCAGAAATAATTTGCTGTAATGTTACCTGGTCTCTTTAGACAATGTGAAAAAGCATCACTTTAAACTTGCTGGTTTTCCATATATGTATTTGACCAAGAAGTTGGTAAACTGATGTGAAACTTTCCAGTTTGGGAAATGAAAAACCTGTTTTAGAAGATAGTGAAATTATTTGTACTGTTGTCTTTTCCAAATCTGCACGTTCCCACTGGAAAATAATTCTGTTCATGAGTTTTGCATGTGTACATCTGCACACACACTGTGTATATGCAAGCAAATATATTTTATTTGCATGGTAACTGAGCATGTTTGATGCTCTGAAATAGCAATTGCCAGAAATTCAGAACACTGAATATGGATTTAAGCAATGCAGCTCGTAGCAATGTTAAATGGACATCCAAACAACTGTTTACATACAACAATCAGGATCTTCTGTGATGCCCATTTAATGGAGTGAGATTTAAGACTTCCTGTTTCTTTGTCCTTTCAAGTTGTGGAAGAAAAAGTGAAATTTTCTGAAATAATTTTGCCGTGCATTATCTTATTGTTTGTTTACTTTAAAAGGTAGCAAATGTTGTCTACTGGTTTTTTTTGGTGTTTTTTTTTTTTCCATTTTTCAGATGACAGCATGGATTGTGTAGATAACGAGAGAAGACCTCATTTTCCTCAGTTCTCCTATTCAGCCAGTGGAACCGCTTAATGTTTTGCAATGTTCTCCCATTCAGAAACAAAACAGACTGCATTTTGGGGACCTTACTTCAATGGACACTAGAGAACTTTCTATATTATCTGAATTACAAACTGTGTTTGTATTACGATTTAGATGAATTTGTAGGAAGCCTCACAGATTCTGTATTTAAAACAATTCTTTGATGCATTTTTGAGAAGGAAAACAAATCCATTCTTAAAGTATTACGTCAAGGCTTTTATGCTGAATGACCATAGGTTTTTAAGAATATACACCAAAACTGTTTACTTTAGAAATAATTAAGGTATTCAACATATCAGCAACTCTGACCAGAAAATCCCCTTATTTTATTTATTTCATACAGTTCATTATCTAAATATAGAATCTGCACTCTGAACAATTAGATTTATATAGGAAGATATAAGACTTTAGTAGCTAGTGCAATAATGTAAGCAACAAAGTGAAAAAACTCTGGAGGGTTAAGGTTCAAACTCATTTTGGACAGCAGTGAAGTGTCATCCAACTCCAGAAAACCAACTATAGGAACAGCATTAATGGCCTCAGTGAGGTAAATCAAAAAGCAAAAGTTATTTTTGTTATAACATCTGCTACAAGACATTACATATCAAACTGAATCCAGTGAAATTGCCACGTCGTACAAATGAGTATTCCATTCTAGACAATTATTCCATTTGCATAGAGGAATACTTCATAGGATTGGCTTCTCAGAACCTAGAAAATGCTTGATTTACCAATCTAATACGAAATGCAACAACACAAAATCACCCACTTTCACCACTGTATAAAAATACCATACAGGTCTAAGTGAGAAATCATCTTAATGAGCGAGTCAACCAGACAAAAGTACATTTTGGCGCTGAAGTAATGACTTGTTGCCGCTTTTTTTTAATGAAAAGATATATGAATATATATAAACACTTAATGATTTTTTGCATCATGCCAGATCATTTCTTCTTTCTTGAGTGTGCATTAAAGGTATCAGCCAACAGTTCATGGTGCCTTCTCACTCTTGAAGATTCACTTTAACAGTGTTTCCCATGTGTAAGAAAAAAACTAGGTTGAAACTTCATAAGTGTTTGAATAATAATGGTGTTCAAAAAGTGAATATTTTTTTTTTGTTTTTCATTTTTAATCTTAGTGGAAAATTCCCCACACCCTATTTTTGTTGTATCCTGTTTCTTTGTAATTTTCATAAAAGCAGTCTTATTCTGTCTCTGCTGCGAATGAATTTATTCCATTGTAGGTTGCGTTCTCTTAAATTGCTTTTTTTTTGTTTTTCATTCTCTTGACTGTATAAAAAATGATGACATGTACTGCAGTTAACTAGCATTTAATTTTTTATTTGAAAGGGAGTATGTTATGAAAACCCTCGCTTCCCCTTTCCATCAGAAACTGCTGTGTTTGCACAGAGAGCCCATCATCTTGACTTTTTTTTTTTAACAACATTCAACTCTAGTATTTTTACTCATGATATGAAAGTTTCCCTCCAAATACTTAAATAAAAATTGCTTTAACAAGTTAGGTTCTTATTTCTTGTGGTAGGAGCCTCCTGAATTTGTAGAGATGCAACAACTGCTCCAGTTTCTTGAGTCTGATGTGCACATCACCAAAGGATTTAGGCTTTTCTGCCCCTCCTCAGTTGTTTCATCTCTGTGCTGATCATTATGCAAAGATAATTTTGGAAAATGTTTGTTAAAAGAAATGCACCCTGTGCCAGAAATAGTTGGTCTTGAGGTGAATGAGGACAGGCCTCATTTTGCTGTCCTCCTGATGCCAGTGCGATTGTGTAACTGAGGCCCTAATCTTCAAAGGTATTTCTGTTCCAGTCACATACAATATATAATACCGCATTTCCTTTCTAGGGAGTAATATTAATCGCTTCTAGGACATAGTTATACAAGGCTGGAATGTCCTTTTTCAAACAAGAATACAGAGAAAAATACAAGAACGTCCAAGAACAACTGCACTATGCTTCAAACTAAGCACAGAAGTTGCAACCGTAGTAAGCCATTAAACATCCAAAACATTTTTTGGTTCAAGGAATAGGCTGTAATTCCCAGTAGAATTTACTGCATGTTTTATGCAAGGAGGGAAGGTGAAAGGAGGGATCTGTGTCTCTGTAGAGGATACCTTGCACTGATGCTGGACAGCCTATCCCCTTCTGCAAGTCTGATCTCCTAACTTCTCCTTCCTTTGCTTCCAAGCCTTCATCTGAGTTTGCAGCCAGCCCGGGGATGAAGTCCAAAGAACTCTTCTGCAAGTCTGCAAGCCCCGACAAGTTCTGAACTAGCACATTTCGTGCATCCAAATATAGGCAACACGAATGAGCAAAGGTTACCATCATCTGCCCCAGGAAAATCTGGTCTTTCAAATGCAGGAACAGACATGGATCGGGTTGTTCTGTTGAGGCTGATTATGTCTCAGAACAGTATTTTTCTGCCAGTTGTTGCTAATGGATTTTTGTTTTAATTCCCATATAGAAAATGGAACTTAAAAAAGCTGCCAAAAAAGTCTGGGAATCTTAGTATTGTTAGCAACAGTGAGCTGCGAGGGCCATACCTGAATGCAGAGTCTTCTGGATATTTTCCCTCATTTTGCCTGTGATTATTCAAACGCCTTGTCTGTTGTCTATAATTGAATGATTACCGGCGTTACACCTGTCTACCTGCAAACGTAAAGTGTGTTCTTCAAATTTTGGTTTAGCACAGAAAATGAGGAGTAGCATATCCATCACTGTTAGCATTCTGTTGTCTTTCTCTGCCTATCGCAAAAGTCTGTGACACGAGTGCCGTTCACCTCCGATTGCTTTTGTACCATATATGCAGAGACTGCTTAAATCTTCCATGTTCCTTTAGCTCTTTTATTTGAAAACCCAAAACTTTTCTAACTATCTGTATAGCCAACGCCTCCTCATTCTTCCTTCTGGCATTGACAAATGTCATTTTGCTCTGGTGTTGTACATTGCAGCAAAGATGATGCATCCCAAGTGCAGAACACTGGTAGCATATGTATGTTACAGCCCAGGAACTTGGTTGCAAGCACAGGTTGGGAGAAAAATAGAAAAAAAACCTTTGCAAGAGCAAATAAGTAGCATGCAGTTCTCTGTGTGCCGCTGACTGCAGTCAGAAGAGGAGGTCAGCTGAACACTGGTTGAAACAGAGATACACTGCTGCTTGTGCTATTTGGGGTTGAGACATTGGCAGAAGCCAGGTAATTCTGCAAATTCCATTTTATATTATCTTGTGTAACTAAAACATCCAGTACAATCCCAGTAGGATATGGGAGGCTGTTCTCCCTTTAAACTGGGCGAAGATCACCGTGGTTTATAGCATTCCCAACTCTGCACAGACTATGACCTCTCACCCCCCACAATAAAACAAATTGCTTGCTTCATTTTTCTTTCTACACCATCGCCCCTCTAGAAGGTAACCTCCACGTGCTCTCCAGCTGCTGCACTGCTCTCATGCAGGCCTCAAGTATCTCGGCTGCTATTTGAATTTGTTCCCGGTTTTCCACCTGAGAAACAAATTATGATAGTTTTTGGAGGTTTGAGGGTAAAAACTTGCCTTGATTGTTTGAATCGGATGATCTTTAACTGGGGGTGAATTTTCTTGTCTGCTACTTTGGATTACTTACGTGCATTTAAATGTACAAGAGTACTGTATTCTTCATATTCATAAGTATTTGTGGTTTTTTTTTAAATCTTTGTCAAAGAAAATACTCTTTGCTTTTTAGAGAGCATATGCTAGGGCAGATTTTTATCTCCAGTAGCAGGATTTAGGATGATGGTCCCAAATGAGAGGTCACAATTTATAGTGGGAATGCAGACTCCAAGGAGATGGAGTTGCAGAAGAGAAGCCCACACATGTAAAGTGCCTGTGAGAGTTGCATGGGTTTTCTGCCGGAGAAGTTTGGGAAATGGTAATTTAGGAGGAAGGTTTGATTTATTTCACTGTATCTAAAACAGCTTCAGAGGTAAAAACACATTTGAAGAAACGGGCAAATGGAAAAGGATCTTGTTTCTTCAGTGTTGCAAATGAGTGTTTGTCTTCCACTTTTAGCTCAATTTTCTTAATAACAGGGAGGTTAATTGCCACTAGAAGTAAAACGAAAAGAACACACAGTGCCTATAGCAAATGGGAGCTTATTATCCCCAATGCAGCTGAGCGTACAGACGTTTGGTAGCTCTGTCTAATGGAACATATGTTGCATTCTAATCAGGTGATGACTAGTTGCTCTGTGTCTGAAATAATTTTAAACGAAAATGTTTTGTTACAGTACTCCCTGCATGCCACTTTTTTTTCCTTTTTTTAATTTCAATTTTTGTAACTGCTGGTCACCATTCTGGGTTTGTGAGCATGGTGGGGTCTTTCTTGAGAACCAGATCAAGGACTTTGTATGTGAAAACACTACTTCCCTCTGTGGTTTTTCAGCGTGCTTGTAGCTCGGTTCTCAGTTTCTCCCTCGCTGAAGCACCGCTTCATGTGGTTGTCTGCCTGTTACTGCTCACTACCTGTTTCTCTAGAGATGGACTTTATGAACTTCTTCCTGTGTTAAATGTAACCCTGGTCTATGCTAAGATTCCATTTTTATGAGTGTTTCCACGCTGTTTCTTCATGTCTTCTGTCATACTACCGTAACTGCTTGTATTTTGCATCATCAGGTCTATGAGTTTGCTTCAAGAAGATAATGACCGCACAGATGGCGGTTGCTGTATTTCCTGAATTCTGAGGGTCTTTCAAATTCTGCACATTTTTAAAATAATACATAACTTTCACCCCACAGAAGATACTATAATTATTTTGAGTACAAGAGTGAAAATTCTTCACAGAAACAGAGGAGACACAATCCCTACCCCAATTGTTGTGATCTTTAGTTATTTGTAAACTCTACCATATCTATTTCCTTGCACTATTATGTTCTTACAGTACTGATGCTGTTAGGCAGAAAACTGTTGTGTAGTACGGAGAAAACCTGTATCAGAACAAAAAATGGCGATTGTGATCTTCAGCACAGTGCCTGGGAATTCATTGAAACTGAATGAAAATGATCAGAAAATATGTGCTTAAACATTTATATTGTTTTGGAAAAAAGCAAAACCAGTAATACTGTTCTTCCTTCAGCTTATTGAAGTACAGCGATTGGAACAAATTGGACTCCTTTGGGGAAATCTTGCTGACCGTGCATGGAGCAGGGGCACTGGGCTAGACAATCTCCAAGAAATCCCTGCAAACCTCAACTAGTCTGTGAGTCTATTTAATGATTTAGGTCCTGGATTTGAGTGCTTTAGTGAAGGAGGTTCTTCATGGTTGTTTTTTTTTCTGTCATCATCTCTGGTATGTATTTATACTTCCAGACTGACACGACCCGTCTACTACTTTCATGCAATCTATGTGAGTTGGCATCAGCCTTGCTTTGAGATGCTTTCAGTAGTACAAATGCTGCATTTTTTTTTTTTTTCTTTCTCATTTTCTTTTATGTCATTGGCCCTGGTCATCCCAAGTTCACTGCACTTACTGTTTTAAGCAAAGTATGTATCTGTTGAATGCCTACACGTTCTATTGCATTATAGTTTTGTAAGTAATTTTCTCGGGGATATGAAGAGTA